AGATGGGGTCTCACTATGTTGCCTAGGCTGGTCTCAAACTTCTGGGCTCAAGGGATCCAATCACCTGGGTTGTCTAAACTGCTGGGATTACAGGCGTGAGCCACTGCGCCTGGTCTAAAAGTCCTATTAAAGACCCAAATGTATGTGCATGAACTTTTCCCCATACGTATCTTTTTAAAAAAATTGTGGTAAAAAATAACGTAAAATTTACCATTTTAACCATTTCTCCCACATGTATCTTAAAGTTAGTTAACAGTAAATGGTAAAAGTTTCATTCGTTCACCAAAATCAAGCCTCCTTGTCACCTTTTCTAGACCAGTGAACACTGAAAAAAATCAGAAGACATGGACCTTGAATAGAACTCGGCAAAGCACAGCCTGTGGCCCAAATCTGGCTCACTGCCTGCTTCTGTATGGCCCACAAGCTAAGACTTAAAAAATCTATAATTTTAAAAATATTTTAGTTTTGAAAAATCAAATGAACAGTATTTTTTAACATAAAAATTATAGGAAATTCCCAGCCTGGGCAACATGGTGAAACTCCATCTCTACTAAAAATAAAATACTAGCCAGGCATGGTGATGCATGCCTGTTATCCCAGCTACTTGAGAGGCTGAGGCAGGAGAACTGCTAGAACCCGGGAGGCAGAGGTTGCAGTGTGAGCCGAGATCGCGCCACTGCACTTCAGCTTGGGTGACAGAGTGAGACTCCGTCCCTAAAAATAAATAAATAAATAAATTATAGGAAATTCAAATTTCAGTGTCCATAAAGTTTTACTGAAACATAGTCACATCCATTCATTTATCTTTTGTCTATGCTGCTTTTGCCCTACAGAGTTGAATAATTGCAACAGAGATAGTATAAGTCCCATGAATCTCGTATTATTTACTATCTTCCCTTTACAAAAAATGTTTGCCCATACCTGACCTAGATTATCAGTTGACATTTCCATACTCAAAAATTCTAAATTAAGGATGGTATACTCCCCATCACCAAAAATCCCTAATCTGTATGTTGTGAAGCTATTTAAAACAATGTATTTCATCTTACTAATTTATTGCTTTTGGTCTAACTATGCTAAACCATGAGTGTATCAATAATATCTATATTGAGTGTATCAACTTTCTGTTTATGAGTAGTGAGCCTAAAAGGAATGCTTTCTTGCTTTAGGATTTATAAAAGGGCTCATTGCCTATCTCAAATATTTTTTATTTATTGATTGATTTTGAAACAGAGTTTTGCTCTTGTTGCCCAGGCTGGAGTGCAATGGTGCGATCTCGACTCACTGCAACCTCCGCCTCCTGGGTTCAAGCAATTCTCCTGCCTCAGTCTTCCAAGTAGCTGGAATTACAGGTGCCCGCCACCATGCCCGGCTAATTTTTTGTATTTTTAGTAGAGATGGGGTTTCACTATGTTGGCCAGGCTGGTCTCGAACACCTGACCTCAGGTGATCCACCTGCCTTGACCTCCCAAAATGCTGGGATTACAGGCGTAGGCCACCGCGCCTGGCCTCAAAGATTTAAATAGTTTGTCGAGGGGCCAAAATATATTTTCACAAAAATATCAGAGGTCTCTGATACCACGTCGAAATGGTGTTTCTTAAAATACTCAGAGCATACAAGTAACTGGTATGCACCCTTCACTCCTTCACTGCTTCAGCCCCCATATTGCTTACAGATAATTCTATTAGCATTAATGAAGTCCCCAAGAGGGCCAAGAATTGGTAGACAGTATGAACTCTAGCTGTTAACTGAACTCATAGGTTTTATGGCAAACACACTACTGGCTAGTGGGGCAAATTCCAGATGAAGAGTTAGAGGAGAATGAGCATCAATCTATAAACTTATAAAAGGTATTCACAGCAAACATAACCTGAGTGGAGAAGCTCTGTTGATGCGCATCTGATAGACCCTAAAGGTAGTAAAACACCCAAGTGAGTAGACCATAAATTCCATACATTCCAGATGGGACCCACTACAGAGAACCCATCGACCGCATGGCCCTAGCTGCACTCCTCCTTGAAGGAAAGTCTAGATTCCATTACCTTCTATTTTCCTTCTTATGAGTTGTGAAGGAAGGAAGAGAATCTTAGAGGAAGAATGAAAAGAAGGGAGATCATTTGGGGTTGGGTACACATTGTAATTAGAAGTAGGATTGATGGGGAATGAGCTAACTGTTTTTATAAAGTCAGCATTCAAAAATGCAAACCACCAGTAATTTAAATATTACAAAATTGCGCAGAATACAAATATTGAAATAATTTTTTCCATCCACAAAATTTTAGAGAAAATTACAGTATCAAAAAATATAAAATGGCAAGTTTGGCATATCCTCAGAGTAAAATGTGTGTGTGTGTGTGTTTTATTGGAAAAGATTTTAAAAGCTAGTGGGTAGGATCTAGACAGGATGTGTTGGTGAAGACCATGTGGTATCTCCCTAAAACTGCTTCTACAACTAGGCAGGAAAAGTCAAAAAAGCAAAGCACTGAGTTACCAGGACGGTAAGACACCAAGCTGGCAAGGCTCAGTGAATTGGGAACTTGGGCCACTTATCACAAATCATTTCACAATGATTATTTGCCCTTACCCCAGACTCCTAAATAAAAGTACACCAAAATTTGGGGTGCAAACTTCATAAGAGCTGCTGCATTTGATCTTAAAAAAGCAAAGATATCTGGGAAGAGAATAGCTTCCAACAAACTTAAGCAGAGTTGGCTCACTTGATGCTTTTCAGAGCTACTACTCTGCCCTTTCCAGAAGGGGAACCAGTCTATTTCCACCCATACCTCTCTCTTTGTAGGGGACATTAAATCCTGACCACACAGATAGCAAAGTGGAGCTAAGGGGTTACTAGGTTACAGTTATGCTGACATATCCTGGCTCTCGGAATGTCCCTCACTCCTCACAACAGTAGAAGCGATCATACTGTAGAAGTCCTATAAAAGGCAGTGATCACTCAGAAACCACTCACTGAGCCTCAGGTTTACAACACTTGGAGACCCCAGTTCTACCAGTTTAAAGCCAAGCTTTGCCTTTTACAGAAATGAATCAGACAGAAAGCTCTTAGCACTCCCAGGGTAAATGAGGTGTCTAGCACTCGATGAACTGTGAGGTCCTATAAAAGTATTATTAAAATATGTTTATTGACTCCCTCCTATATGCGGGTATGTTACCTACAGTATATCATTTAATATTCACAACACTCTGCAAAGTTATCCTGTCTTTACAGATGAGGAAACTGAGGCTCAGAGAGCTGAAGGCATGGCCCAAAGTCACGCAGTAAGTGACAATACCAAGTCCTAGCTTTTTCGCTAATCCAAGCCAATAAGTAAACAAAGCAACTCTGAGTTTTCTTACACCAGCAAAATCCCATCCTTTCCAATATCAGTCTGTGACTTTGGGTGGTGAACCCAGAGGCGGGTTTTCTTACTCCTGCAGACTGGTAATAAACTCTTCCTATCCCTTTCACAAATGTCCTATGCTCAACATCCAAACAACCTGCAGAGAAATGCAACGCCCTCTTGCCTTTTCTTCAACTTCAGAAAGGATTTGGCTACAAGGTTGCGTGTGGAAGTTAAGCAAAGTCCAAGCTTCATCCTGGACCAGAGTCCCCCCTCGGGAAGACCTGGCCTTGGCCTCGGCCTTGGCCTGGGGAGTGAGTGACCTGTCTAAGGTGTGGGGTGACCGAAACACGGAGCTCGGCGTTGCACCCTTAGGAAGAGCACCCTAAGCTCAGTAGGGGAGAAGTTTCCCATCACCGCTTCCTTTTTCCTCTCCCCCTGCTGCGCCATCACCTAAGTCATACGGAAGTTCAAAGCGGCCCAGCGGAGAGAGAGGGCACGTCCCGTCCGTCTGGGTACAAGATCGTCCCAGGACCCTAACCTGCCTCTAGCAGGGCGAACAAGTCCATCCCGTTCCTCGCGAGGCAGAAGTTACAATGTCCGCCAAGCGGGTGCAGCCGAGGACTCGGGAAAAGGGGCTGAGCGCCGGCTCCTCCCGCCTCCGCTCTGCTCTGTGCGGGGAGGCGCCGGGTTCCACCGGTGTAGGAGGGAGGAGAGGACTGGGGTACGCGGGGGCGTCGTAGTGAGGCTCAGGGAGGGGACCTTGGCCCGGGGGAGGGATGTCGCTGAGGGTCTTGCAGAGAGGGATGTAGCCTCTTGTAGCAGGGGAGCCGTCCCAGTGCAAGGTGCGTCGATGAAGGACTTGGGGCGGGATCCCAGGAGGTACTGGGGAGCAGGGGTCGTCCCGGCCCGGGAGGGGTCGCTGGGGACTTGGGGACGGGATCCCAGGAGGTACCGGGAAGCAGGGGGCGTCCTGGCCCGGGGGTAGTCGCTGGGGATTTTGGGACGAGATCCCAGGAGGTACCGGGGAGCAGGGGTCGCCCCGGCCCGGGGGGGAGTCGCTGGGGACTTGGGATGGGATCCCAGGAGGTACCGGGGAGAGGGGGCGTCCCAGCCTGGTTGGGGTCGCTGAGGGACTCGGGCAGCGGGTCCCGGATCCCAAGACAGAGGAGATGTCCCAGCCCGGGGGGCGTCGCGGAGGGCCTTGGAGGTCACAAGGCGAAGGGGGCGTCCTGGGCTGAGGGGTGTCGCTGAGGAGCACCGGGTCCTGCAGCCAGGGGACAGTACCTGGCCCGGGGGCGTCGATGACGGGCCTGGGGGGAGCCCGGGTCCCAGGGAGGGACCGTCCCAGCCTGAGGGGCGTCGCCGAGGGGCCCGGGGAAGGGGCCCGAAAGGTCCTGAGGCGGGAGGGAGGGGGCCCTCAGGCCGGCCGGCTCTTGTCGCCCCTCGAGTGTGCTCCGCTCAGGGCGGGCGGCGGGGGTCGCTCACACTCACCGGGTCCGGGGCCGAGGCCGGGGCTGGGCGCGGGCCGGGCCGCCAGCGTGAGCGCCGCGGCGGAGAGCAGGGCGAGGCGGGCGGCGGGCGGCGCCATGGGCCGTCAGTGCGGGGCCCCGGGGCGCGGCCCGGGGGAAAGGGGGCAGCGCGGGGAGCCGGGGGCGGCCATGGGAGCAGGACGCGGGGCCCGAGTGTAGCCCCGCCCCGACTGCCCGGCCGCCCCGCCCAGGCCCGCCCAGTTCAGCGCCGCCACTGCCCCTGCCGCCTGGGGCCCGCCTGGATCCGCGGAGAGGCCCGGAGGGCGGAGCCTACCGCGCGCGCACGCCCCGCCCCGGCCGCTTGCCTCTCCTGCCACTCACGCATCAGGCCCCGCCCATCCCTCGCCTCACCTGGGCCCGCCCCTCAGGGCCCTCTGTTTGTCCCATTCACGGGTGGGATCAGCAGGTGAGGGCGGGGCCTCGGCCCGGCCTCCAAGTCACCAAGCGGTTTGGCCGGGCTGAAATAGGCCGGGCTCCCAGTGACCCCTCCTCCACCCTCACTCGGGTCGTGACCCACACGCGAGCTCAGCTACAGCGATAATAATTACAACAGCAGTTTGCAAGCTGTTTTCCCTTGCTTAGCTCATCGTAATGGTTAAAAAAAGAATGCTTTGGAGACTTCACATCCCACTTGGTCATCTGTAAGATCTTGGACATGTTTAAAGGAAAAATAGCTCTTACCTCAATTTCCTTATCTGTTAAATGGAGGTGATAATAGCTACTACTCCCCAGAGCGGTTGCACTAAATAAGAACGCCTAGAGCCGGGCGCTGTGGCTAACAAATCCTGGGATCCCAGCACTTTGGGAGGAGGCCGAGACAGAAGAATCGCTTGAGCCCCGGAGTTCGAGACCAACCTGGGCAAAGCAGCAAGACCCCATCTCTACAGGAAAAAATAAATAAATCAGTGGTCCCAGCTACTCAGGAGACTGAGGCAGGAGTATCGCTTGAGCCCGGAAGGTCGGGGTTGCAGCAAGCCTTGTTCACACCACTGCACTCCAGCCTGGGTGACAGAGCAAGACCCTGTCTCAAAAAACAAAACAAAACGAAAGCATGGAAGCTTTTACACACGCACAGTAGGAGCTCAGCAAATGTTGAATTCCTTTCTCCACCCCAAGTTTGCAGCCACATACTGACCCCCTGGTTCCGTATCTTATCACATAGCCAGTTTCAACTAGGGCAAGTTTCCTGATGTGTCTGAGGCTCAGCCGTTTGCAGAATAGGAATAATAAAAGGCCTTCAGAGGATTCGATGAGATAGAAGCAAGTAAAACGCCCAGTGCAACGACCAGAAATGGATGGGATAGTGCTGCTTATCCTACAGCCTGGGATGTTAGGCATCAGAGAGCGCGCGGCTTGCTTAAACTTTCGGCCCGCGTGTGGTAGGCCCTTTGCCCTCCTCCCCGCCGACCCCGGCAAGGTCTTTCCCTGCCTCACCCGGGGTCGGTCGTGGGCCGTCCTCCTTCCCCGCCCTCCCCCAAGGCAGAGGGGATTTTCCTACAGCTCCCGCCTAAAGCGCAGCGGTGACGCCCGGCGGGGCAGGTCTGGGCGGCGCGCCGGCAGCTTTCAAGTCTCTGGTCCCGGGCTTGCAAGTGCAGACCTGCGCCCGGCGCGGCGGCGGGAACATCTGCCCCAGTGTGCAGACTCGCCGCACCCAGAGCGCGGCTGGGCGGGACAGGCCCGCCTTAGGTACACTCGCCCCTGGGCCCCCTCAACCCCCGGGCGCCGCCCCCTTGCCCACTCCCAGAGCCTGCGTCCCCCCATACTCCTTTCTCCACCCACGGCTGCTCTCAGGTCTGGGCCCGAAGGGCGCAGCTACCTCCCACGAGGCCTCTCAATCTCTGTCCCTCTCCACCCACACTACTCAGCGCTGTAGCAAGAAGAATCTTGTTCAGTTATTGTTTTCATGTGTCACTCCCGAGTTCAAGGACCCTCTGAGCTTCTTATTGGAGCTTAGGGGCACCCACCATCCCCTCACCCAGCCAGCCTCGGTCCTGGGGAGCCCCCCACCTCCTACCACCGGTGATCCCCATTTTTGTCCAGCTTTCCCCTTTTCCACAATTTTGGGCCCTTCCCACCTTCTCCACCGGACCTGAGAACCCTTACTCTGGGACTTCTGTGCCCTCCCAGACAGCAGTGCCTTTGAAGAGAATGAAATGAGAAGATGCAGATGAAGCCCTCAGCCCAAAGCAAACAATAAAGTCGAACTTTCCTTTGTTCAGCAAATATTCAGCGAGGAACTTGCTGAGGGCTGAGGACACAGCCACCAAGACCAAACCTTCCTCTTGGAACTTACATTCTAGTCAATCTGAAAACACGCAAATTCCTGAGAACAAAAAGTAATACAAAGACAAGAAAATTATGTTAACTGAAGGCTCTGTGGATATTTTTTTCTTTTTCTTTTTCTGGAGACAAGGCCTCCCTCTGTCGCCCACACTGGAGTGCAGTGATGAGATCATGGATCACTGCAGCCTCCAATTCTTGGGCTCCAATGATCCTCCCGCCTCAGCCTCCTGGGTAGCTGGGACTACAGAGGCACGCCATCACACCCAGCTAACCTTTGGGCTACTTTAAACAGGATGCCAGAGAAAGACTTTAGCAAAGCAGGACACAGTTCTCTACAGTTTCCAAGGTTCTTTCGACATCTCATTCAGGTTTCAGAGAAGAAAATAGGAAGGGCACCCAGGAGGCTGGAAACAAGGTTTATTTGGCCAAGTCTGGGCAGCCATGCCCTGTGATAGTAGCTTTGGTCTGCCCTGCCTGCTGTGGGAAGGCACCCTTCCTGGGCTGGCAGCAGCCCCTCCTCCAGTTGGCTCTCTCTGTCATGTGCACTCCTTAGGACCAGCCATATAATTGGCATGGCACAGTGAGAAATGAAAACGTATGTCCTTTGTCCAAACTTATTAAGAATTTCAAGACAGGCCAGGCGCTGTGGGTCACACCTATAATCCCAGCATTTAGGGAGGCCAAGGCAGGTGGATCACCTGAGATCAGAAGTTTGAGACCAGCCTGGCCAACATGGTGAAACCCCATCTCTACTAAAAATACAAAAAAATTGTATCCAGGAGTGGTGGTAGGCGCCTGTAATCCCAGCTACTCAGGAGGCTGAGACAGGAGAATTGCTTGAAACTGGGAGGTGGAGGTTGCAGTGAGCCAAAATCGTGCCACACAGCAAGACTCCATCTCAAAAAAAAAAAAAAAAAAAGAATTTCAAGACAGTGACAGCAGAAGATAAAAAGATAAAGCATGTATGAGGCCCTTCCAAGCAGGTAGCAAGGGGGCCTATGTTAATATACCTGTTGCACGCCCATGAAAATAGCCCTGTTGTACAACAGGACTCGGAAATCCTGGCAAGCTCCTCCTGGCACTGGCTGCGGTAAGAAACATCCCTCTAGCCTTCTCCACCCCCACCTGCTCTTTTCCAGCTGAAAGCCCAGCACAGGTGATGGAAACAGTGCACAAGAGGCTAAAAATACAGCCCGGCGTGTCTAGGTCATGGCGCTTAACAGCTCAAGGTCTTTTGCTCCACTATGTGGTCCTGGCTTCTGGCAGAGAGCAACCCGGGATACTCATTTCAGTGCTTTACATGCCTGGGGTGTTTAGCAGCTTTATTTCATGGAAAGAGTGAGGACGCTGAATGCAGCTCTTGGGCCTCCAGAAAGATGTTGGTGTCTGTTTGTTTGCACTGTGCAAGTCAGGCCCCTTTCTTCCTCCGAGGGCAGCAGGATTGGTCAAGAAGCCAGGAGACCTACGATGTTGGAGTTTTGGTCATTCAAGTGTCTTTGAAACTCCAGCTGGGATGATTTCCACTCAAAGGACAGTCTTTTTATGGAGAGAGCCCTGGAGGAGGGGGCCGGATTATAGTGACAGCAATAGCAAACGTTTACTGCGGACTCGACTAAGGCTGTGCAGGGCGTCCATGGTTGCATTTCACAAAATCCTCCCAGTAACCTTGTGAGGG